ATTACATGTTTTATAGTTCATGGAGATATGACTATACCACTATTCATAGAGACAACTTATGGCATCTCTCTCGATTTCCAGATGTTGAGTTACTAAGAGGATTCTCTCCACACTTCAATTCGTACTTCCACTACCAAAATATAATCTCCTGTTCTAATATTCTAGGGTTTTTCGCATTTTTTCAGGAGAAATCCGTATATCGATGTTTTTAAATTCTACGCTATTGGATTCAACGTCCAGGACTTCCTGACGTTTAATAACGATTTCTACTTCCAGCAGCCATTTTGGTTCAGCTACAAGTTCACTGTCAACTACCATGTTACGACTTCGCACCGACTGTTTTCTTTTACCTCACGAGTCGATCAGGAAGGTTTCATCCTTAAATCTCGTAACCATGCCAACACATAAGAACTTTTAGGGAAGTTAAGGTGCTCAGGGTCTTACCGTCGGGCCGTATGATTCCACATATTCATGGATAATTCTATTTATTAGGAGTCTCACACTAGCGACAATGGGGAAGTCGTTACACCGTTCATGCAGGACGGAGATTACCCGACAAGGAATTTTGCTACCTTAGGACCGTTTACGATACAGCCGCCGTTTATCATTGATGCCGGGCAGATGTCAGTAACTTGAACTATTCATCAGAATTATCAGTGACTTGTGTTGTAACCTTACAGACGCTTCCAGAATTTAACTTCTTATAAATGGTAGCGCCGGTTTCCCGGGTATCCAATCCAGTGCTCCATTCAAGGCATAGAGACTCAGCCTATGTTCAACTTTGTAGGAAATATTTTTAATAATAGCTTTTGGTATCTCGTAATGTAGAACAATAATGGGTTGACCGTCAAATCCTTTTCATTAAAAGAGTGGATTAATGCCCAGCCAACACCATCCAATTTGATTGGGAATTATCTGTGTTACAATACTTTTTGATCCCAGGCTGGTAAAAAATGTAAACTTTTAGCCTAAAAGAATAGAAACAGATGCCAGGCCAAAAACCCAAAATAGAGCTATGACGCTATCAATTTGACAAGGCAGATAAATTCTTTCATAGAACTTAACGTATCATCCTCCATACATAAATAAAACGGTAGATAGGGAACAAACTGCCTCAAGACGTTCTTAACCCAGCTCACGCATCGCTTCTAACGGTGAACTCTCATTCCAATGGAACCTTGTTCAAGTTCAAATAGATTGGTAAGGTATAGCGTTTACTATCGAATGAAACAATGTATTCCACCGCTAGTGTTTGCTTCTAACATTCCACTTGCTTATAACTGTATGGACGTAACCTCCAGGCAAAGAAAAATGACCGGTCAAAACGGAATCAGTTAACTATGGATAGCTGATACTAACAATTTATCATTACTCAAGTCAGCATAGTCTATATGAAGGTTTCTATGGAAACACACTTCCCTTCTCGCCATTTGATAGCGGTTAACCTTTCTTTTTCCTTACGTACTCTAGCTTTTTACACAACTTTATTGTCTATACTAGATACTATAGTTGAAACAGGACATATATGTTCATTATTCAGAATAGAAAAAGAACTCTATAAATAACCATATAATTTCTACAAAATGCCAATATAATATAGTAATTTGATCTGTATGTGGTAATACAATATAAGATATTCCATATAATGAATATGACCATTCACAATTTACATCATAAACTTCTATTATTCTTATAAAATATATTAATAATAATAATAAACCAACAATAACATGTGAAAAATGTAAACCTGTAATACAATAAAATAATGTACCATAAATAGCATCATTTATATAATATCCTAAATGTAAGTATTCAGTTGTTTGAAGTGATGCAAAACATTCTCCAAGTAAATATATTATAAATATAATACTAGAAATTTCTAAACTCATTCCTTTTTCTATAAGAAATTGTAAACATGCAGTCATACATGATGCACTAGCTAATATAAATGTAATTGTTAAGATTAACATTCTTGATGATGTTAATACTATACCTTCATTATATAAAGGTAATGGTGATAGACTAAAATGTAAAATACCCCAAAAATATGTCATAAATAATAACGCTTCTGATATTATTATAGATAACATACCAGATACTAATGATGAAAATATTGAATAAAAACTTTCTCTAATTGAATATATAAATATAATAAATATTATAGGATTGAATGTAAATAAAATACCTACAGAAAAATATTTTAAAGATGTTCCATATAATGATGTTAATGAAGGGTAAGATATTAAATGTGCTTTTATATTATTATAGTTACTAAATATAAAAAATATATTTATAAGAACGGTGATTTTGTGTGCCGTTAACATATAACGGTAAGAAGGTTCGCCGGGGATAACAGGTTATAGTATATATAGAGCTCTAATCTTTATATACTATTGGCACCTCCATGTCGTCTCATCGCAGCCTTGCAATAAATAAATATTATTTAGCGTGTATTGTTGCCTTGTACACACCGCTCGTCACGCAAATTTTTAATATAAAGATAAAGAACTCCAGGCGTTAACCTGTAGAGTTGAGATGGAAACAGCCGGAAAGGAAATATTACGTCCAAACGATAAGAATATATATGAAATATACTAGCATGGGACTAAAAAATGTTATGTTGTTGGTTTAAGCCCTTTTACCATACAAGAGATCGCGTACTTTGGACTGAAAAAAGCTGTGAGGAAACTACATTAAAGGAACTCGACTGGCCTACATTATAAGAACGAACGCTTTTAACGCCTGACATGGATGGATAATACTCGACTTTTCCAAAGTATAACCGCTGTCGCTGGGACTGTATGGATCGAATCTTACTTATTCATATCCAAGCCTCATTTCATATTTATTTATATATATTTTTTTTGTTTTTAATAGATATACACTTATTACAAATTGTAATCATAAAACTTTAGGTTTATACTATTTATGGTTTTCATTTTTATTTGGTAGTTATGGTTTCTTATTATCTGTTATTTTACGTACTGAATTATATTCTTCTTCTTTAAGAATTATTGCACAAGAAAATGTTAATTTATATAATATGATATTTACATTACATGGAATTATTATGATATTTTTTAATATAATGCCAGGATTATTCGGAGGATTTGGTAATTATTTTTTACCAATTTTATGTGGTTCACCTGAACTTGCATACCCAAGAATTAATAGTATATCTTTATTATTACAACCAATTGCTTTTATCTTAGTAATACTATCTACAGCAGCAGAATTTGGAGGAGGAACAGGATGGACTTTATATCCACCATTAAGTACATCACTTATGTCTTTATCTCCTGTTGCAGTAGATGTAATTATTATAGGTCTTTTAGTATCTGGTATTGCTAGTATAATGTCTTCTTTAAATTTTATTACTACAGTAATGCATTTAAGATCAAAAGGTTTAACATTAGGTATATTAAGTGTATCTACATGGTCATTAATAATAACATCTATAATGCTATTATTAACATTACCAGTTTTAACAGGTGGTGTTTTAATGTTATTATCAGATTTACATTTTAATACATTATTTTTTGATCCTACATTTGCTGGAGATCCAATATTATATCAACATCTATTCTGGTTTTTTGGACATCCTGAAGTATATATTTTAATTCTACCAGCATTTGGTGTAATTAGTCATGTAATATCTACAAATTATTGTAGAAGTTTATTTGGAAATCAATCTATGATTTTAGCAATGAGTTGTATTGCTATATTAGGAAGTGTAGTTTGGGCTCATCATATGTATACTACAGGTTTAGAAGTAGATACAAGAGCATTTTTCACATCTACAACTATTTTAATTTCTATTCCTACTGGTACTAAAATATTTAATTGGATATGTACATATATGGGTAGTAATTTAGGAATAACTCATAGTTCATCTTTATTATCATTATTATTTATTTGTACATTTACTTTTGGTGGAACTACAGGAGTAATATTAGGAAATGCAGCTATCGATATTGCATTACATGATACATATTATGTAATTGCTCATTTCCATTTCGTATTATCAATAGGTGCAATAATTGCATTATTTACATTAATTAGTAGTTTTCAAGAAAATTTTTTTGGTAAATCTTTACGTGAAAATTCAATAATTATATTATGGTCAATATTATTTTTTATTGGAGTTGTTTTAACTTTTTTACCTATGCATTTTCTTGGATTTAATGTAATGCCTAGACGTATTCCTGATTATCCAGACGCTTTAAATGGATGGAATATGATTTGTTCAATTGGTTCAACAATGACTTTATTTGGTTTTTTAATTTTTAAATAATATAAATGTAATATTTTTTTTGTTTATATGAATTATTATTCTATTAATTTAGCAAAAGCACATTTATTAAATTATCCATGCCCATTAAACATTAATTTTTTATGGAATTATGGATTTCTTTTAGGTATTATATTCTTTATACAAATATTAACAGGTGTATTTTTAGCTAGTCGTTATACTCCAGAAATATCATATGCATATTATAGTATACAACATATTTTAAGAGAATTATGGAGTGGATGGTGTTTTAGATATATGCATGCTACAGGTGCATCTCTTGTATTTTTATTAACTTATTTACATATTTTAAGAGGATTAAATTATTCATATTTATATTTACCTTTATCATGGATATCAGGATTAATCATATTTGCATTATTTATAGTAACAGCTTTCATAGGTTATGTTTTACCTTGGGGACAAATGAGTTATTGGGGTGCAACTGTTATAACTAACTTATTATCTTCTATTCCAGTATTAGTTATATGGTTATGTGGAGGATATACAGTAAGTGATCCAACAATTAAAAGATTTTTTGTATTACATTTTATACTTCCATTTGTAGCATTATGTATTGTATTTATACATATTTTCTTTTTACATTTACATGGTAGCACTAATCCTTTAGGGTATGATACAGCTTTAAAAATACCCTTTTATCCAAATCTATTAAGTCTTGATGTAAAAGGATTTAATAATATATTTATATTATTTTTATTACAAAGTTTATTTGGTATTATTCCATTATCTCATCCAGATAATGCAATATTAGTTAATACATATGTTACACCAATACAAATTGTTCCAGAATGGTATTTTTTACCATTTTATGCAATGTTAAAAACAATACCTAGTAAAACAGCAGGTTTATTAATTGTTTTAGCATCTTTACAATTATTATTTTTATTAGCTGAACAAAGAAGTTTAACAACTATAATACAATTTAAAATGACATTTGGTGCTAGAGAATATTCTGTACCAATGATATGGTTTATGTGTTCATTCTATGCTTTATTATGGATTGGATGTCAATTACCACAAGATATTTTCATTTTATATGGTCGTTTATTTATAATATCATTCTTCTCTAGTGGATTATTTGTACTTGTTCATTATAAAAGAACACATTATGATTACAGCTCCCAAGCAAACATTTAAATTACAAGGCTACGATAAGACGATATTTCTGAATATTGAGCAGAACAATACAGACCGTAAGGTTATAATTATGTTTAAAGTTAGGATAATTTGATTATAGTTACCATAGCTGTAGATGGATGCTTCGATATATATATATATAAGTATTAATCGAGATTACATGCTCAGCCGCCAAAAAAACGATATTATTACCGTACAAGCCGTTAGCAAGACATGATAGGGAGTTGACAAGTTAAAGAAGTTCTGGTTTATAATAGATACGTTATTAAAGTTAGGATGTATGGGATATTTGTAGTACACCTTAATTGGTTTTACTATTATTGGTTTATAGAAATATGTTCGGTATTGCATGCCTGGTGTTTTTAATTAAGACGCTGACTTCCTGGCTAAACTTCCCAATGATATATCTTCCAAATAGATTTCGCAGAAAACCGTCTATATTCATGTTTGATTGACCTTTAACCGCTAATTACGAATCTTCCAAGAATATTTCAAGAGTCCAAGGTTCGGTCTATTATTTTCCTGTTCTGTAATTAGATCACATGTT